TTTTCAATTTGAAGAATTAATAAATTAAATATCCTCGCGCGCTTTTCAAAAAAGCTGGTATTCTCTCTTTCATTGCCCCCTTGTACATTGCACAATTTCCACGCACAATTTCATTAAGCAAGAAGATCATCAAACAACGGTTTCGACTGGGAATAAGCGTTAGTTTGACCCGTTAAATGAGTAAATGGGTGACTTTCCTGTATGTACCAGCTTTCAGTATACCGGAATGAATAGTCTTCATCCGAATGTGACTGTGTACCTGGCCGTTTTTATGGTAACTGATTTCTTGAACTAGAACTTCGGGGAAGGGACATGAATAAGCCTCTTTCAGTTCCCAAGTAGAATAGTATTTTTAACAATAAAATCAGCAAATGAGCCAACGCAAAAGAAACCGCTGCGTGTATACACAGGATAATAAGAATTCTCAAGGACAACAAGTAATGCAGCAAGGCTGACATAAAATACTTACAGAACAGTTGACACCGATAGATCTTCAACTGAGTGCGGTCGCTGCTGCAGGCAGACGAATCGTTCTTATTAGGACCTAAAAACACGGTTTTTCTAAGCGAGATGGTAAAAAACGGAATAACAATGAAATCAAGAGGAGTACAAGGAAAATGCTGACGTGTGTGTATACATAGTTTCTCTACACGTTTTCAACCACAATTCCTGGAGCACAAAGGATAGAGCTTTAATAGCTTTTAATGTCCTATCGCATCAATAATTCTCTCTAAAATCACAAATTACAGCGTGCAAAGCGTTTTAACACAAACAGCAGTTAAAGCAGAAAGTAATCAGATATTTTTTCAAAATTTATTGATTTGAATCGGGCTGATGTTGTGCATTTAGCCGATTCTACAACATTTTTGTCGGTACAGTCAAATCACTTTAATACGGACACTGAGGGGGCAACTCGAAAAGGGAAAATTTATAAACGAATGGCCAGAGTTAAGACCCTGAGAGATTTTTTTAAAATATGTAAGAAACTCAGATGTGTTCAGCAGCCACGTTAGTGATTCTCGATAGTGGAAAGATTAAATCATCGTCGCCACTTTTAATAACTTGAGCCGAGCGGACGGCACCAAGTTTTCATGGAAATATTGGCAAACGAAAAGCCTCAGAAAAGTCGTGTTACCGTATTCTTTAATGTAAAAAACAGCCCTTGCCAAATCTCATAAACAATTTGCCTTTGAGCTAACTTCACATAGAGTGAAAGAGTGAAGAAAAGATGAAGAATGTCAACTTAGTTCAGGTAATGGTTTAAAAAATTAATTATTAGAATTATTAGCCTTACCTTTCTACAACTTATTTTAGCACAGATAAATTTTGAGATTTTGCGGCTTTCTCTATGCTCAAATAGTGTAATTTGGGGGTGTAGGGAGAGAGCAAGGTAATTAACTAAATAATAATAAACTGTTAAAGTAGTCGCCAAGATTGGTTACAAACGTGTGGTTAGGATGCCATTCAATGTCTTTTCATCTCATCCTTAAACATTATGGTGGATTAAGTGCTTTACTCTTTATCCTGTTTTAATACAACTCCATGATGGACTGATATTTCATCTACAGATGGGTAGAAATACAGTGGAAGACCTCTTAACGAACACTCCACTGAGTGGCCGCCGCAGACAGCTCTCAGGGTTTACCAGTTAGATTTTGGCTTTGTTTTTAAGTTCTCTCTTTCAGGAGACGTCTGCACACAGGCAAATTTTATCCCTTTGACTGCATTAGAATGTCGTCGCAACAACAATATAGCCAAACACTAAGAAACAGCTTTTTTCATTCCTAATGTTTTTTTTTATAGCTTGGCAATCTACGACAAGCGGCCATTTAACCCTTACACCTCTAGTGCCCGCATAGGAGAACCATTCTCGTAAGCAGCCTACGCTCTCCTAGGTAGTAGATGTCTGCTGACAAGAGCTCCCACTGTACATCTGGGTCGTTTTGCCACTTAACCGAATTGTAATGCTGTTTACTTACTTAAGCAATTTAAAATATCGACAGGGAAAATACCAAGCTGTTGAAACAGAACAAAATGACCGAAGACAAAGCAAAGAGGAATCCAGACGAAGCTGGAGGCAATGACAGCAAGGTATTTAGTTTGTTTTGCGTGAATAGCGTTTTGATTTGATCAGGCGAACGATACACAGATGACTCTTTAATAAAATGGGTACCTCCCCTATTGTCCTTATAGCGATGATTTATTTTATTTTATTTTTTATTTTATTTGCCACACAATATGAGAAATTACAAATAATGATAGGAAAAGTAGAAAAAGAAGTGGCGAGGAGACCTAACATAAACTATGGGAGCTTATGAGAGGCTGGGCCTCCTTGAACTACGGGCTAGAGCTGTTTACATCAAATGAAGAAAAGATGGCGAAAAGTTGAACATGGAAAGATTTATGATTGGTTTTGATATTTATTAAATAATTTAATCTTCAGTATTTTCTTAAAGGAGGAAAGGGATTGAGAGTTGATGACCTCGTTGTCAACTGAATTAAAAAACTTAGGTCCTTGCAAGAAAGGCCATGACTTCTTAGTGTTTGTTCGACAATACGGTAGACGGTAGGCGTGGGAATTTCTTGAATTGTAAGAGTGGAATTGTTGCTGTTTTCTTCTGGATATCGTTCAAAGGGAATTAAACTACTATTTTCAGAAGAAAATCTCGTTATTTAGGGTGACTCGACCCAGTTGTTTTGTGAGGGTACCATCCTACTTTGAAGCTCTCTGGTATCCCCACCTTTACTTTGATCGTAAGTCTAACATATAGCATGGATAACATATAGATCAATCCAAAATATAGCATAAAATTTTTGGCGATCAGAGTAAATGTCACGTGGTTATAGTGCCACACCTCTTTGGGGTCTACGTATAGTTCACATTAGTGCCTTGCGTTGACCAGAGTTTCACCAAAATCGCAAAGACCCAATGCGAGAAATTCAGCGGTTTCGAAATTTAGGTCATAATTTGTGTGAAAATGATAAGCAAACTTTACACGATTATATCTAATAAACTATGAGATTTATCCCTTTTTGGGGGATCTTTATATCAGATGGGTCCTCACAAATCAGCAAAAATCTTTAGGGCCTTATAAATGCGCGCGATTTTGACAAATGCAAACATATAGAAATTATAGTTTTAGCCATTTGTTGACGTTTGTCAGCGTTTAAGAGTCCTTCTCACGAAAAAAGCATTTTCTTAAAAACTCGCAGCTTTTTTCCTTCAAATGTTTTCAGGGCCACATGCAATTGATTTACTAACTACCCGGATTCTGAGTTTCATGGTCATTGAAAAACTGTGACATCTTGTATAAGCCCAAACTTGAGTAGATATTGAAGATTTTTAGCGTTTTGGCTGAGTTTGTGCTTTGGGAGGTTTCTATTGTTTCTAGTCTGTCATGATACAGCATTCTTGTTCAGCACACGCGTGCAATGACCGCGCTTGGCTGACTTCCGAATGCTCACCATTAACAGCTGAAGAGGATTAGAATTTCGTTTGGAATCGATTTGAAATAATGAATGACAAATAAACTCCCTCAATCGTTACAGTTTTCTTTCTAGTGGTACCACTTGCAGAAAAGTAAAAGAGTTCCCTTTCCTGATCAATGAAGAAAATAATTCTGCCAAAAACCAAAACATCAATTCATTCAGTTAAAGAAATTGACTACATGTCTATATCCAATTGCCCATAACAGGACAGGAAAGGTTCAACGTTACCCCTTTTGTCAGCATTTCTAAAAAGTTGTATGTAGGTCCTATATCGTTTAACCTCTGTTAGTCTTCTATTAAAGCCGATACCGCATATCAAAAATGGTTACAGCTCTTGTGAGTTTATTAATTTTATCTGTCAGATTTAAAAGTAAGAAACGACAACAAATAACAGAGAATATAAATAATCGCCAGAAAAAGTCATGAAAAGCGGACCATTTTGATGCCCTGAATCAACAAAAAATTGAAAGGGAGGCCTAATTAAGCGTAAGCAGCGTTTAAAAATTCAACCAGACAGAGTAATTTGACTTTTCAAGGTGGCTCCGTCATTAACACTGGAGCATTTAGCTGTGACAAATTTTCCGTTAAAGTTTTCGTTTTTGAAGCGATGGCTGCGAAACTTTGAAAGAGCAACATATATCATTCGGCAATAGTACTAGATATTTCGATTTCTGTGATGGTAAATATTTCTTGAGAAATTAGCGCTCAAAAGGACCCTACGGTTCAAAGAAAATCGCGTCTAGTAAAAAATTTTGCTGATATTTTTTACTGAAATTTCTGGTATCGGCTTTTATTGATATAATAAGTATGCCGGAGAAATTTCAGAAAAATCGTTGGAGCAGAAGTCCGTAAGTAAAAGTCGCTCAAAATTCAGCAGCTGTGAAATTGTTTTGGAATTTAAATTAATATCAGGTAGAAGGAGCCACCAGTTCGTATTTTTGGGACAAGTAAATTCAATGTTTGCTAATTCTTAAAACAAAAGCCGATTGCCTATCGTGCTATTCTTTAAAAGGTACTTTTTAGTTTTAGAAGCACTATAAATTGCTCCAAACCTTTCTCTGACGTCGAATGACTTGTTCCTCGACATTTTTAAAATACTCCTCGGCAGTTTTGGTTCAAACTCCTGCTACATACTTTTTGATATATTGCAATGCATCCTCAACGGCTTTTCCTGCTTTACGTTGCTTAATGGAAGCCATTTGAGCACTAAAAGTAAAAAACTGGAGTCTTTTTTCAAGCGCAGAATCAATCGTGCTATCAAGGAAAAAGAAAAGAAAAGAGAGAAAGCCAGGAGATGGAAAGAAGGAAAAGATAAAAAAGAATCTCCGTAGTCTTGGTTTTTGCATAGTTTTTGAGTGCATGAGAGATCTTGTACGTTCAAAAAATGGTTGCCAGTATTTTACATTAGCACAGTAGAAATCAGCCTAATATCAAATGTTGTTAAATGAGTAATTTTCTTCTGTTTTTAGTCTTTCAGGAAAGATGACAGTACTCATGGACTAGACGACAAAACCTCTAGTTATAACCTAGGAGTTGCAGCTTATAAACGCTGTGATTTCGCAACTGCCAGAAATTACTTCGAGTTAGAATTAAATGAAGCCAAACAGGCAGGGGACAAGCATAGAGAAGGCAAAGCATATACCAACCTTGGCGCTGCGTATCGCTCTCTCGGTGATTATAAAAAAGCAATCGAATTTCATCAGCAGTCTCTTAGTTTCGCAAAAGAGATTGGAGACCAAGTTATAGAAGACGCAGCATGTACCAACCTTGGCAATGCGTATTACTCTCTCGGTGATTATAAAAAAGCAATCGAATTTCATCAGCAGTCTCTTAGTATCGCAAAAGAGATTGGAAAAAAAGGTTCAGAAGGTGCAGCATATAACAACCTTGGCAGTGCGTATTTCTCTCTCGGTGATTATAAAAAAGCAAGCGAGTTTTTTCAGCAGTCTGTAAGTATCGCAAAAGAGACTGGAGACAAAGGTTCAGAAGAAAAAGCATATGGCAACCTTGGCAATGCGTATGACTCTCTCGGTGATTATAAAAAGGCAATCGAATTTCATCAGCAGTCTCTTAGTATCGCAAAAGAGATTGGAAAAAAAGGTTCAGAAGGTACAACATATAACAACCTTGGCAGTGCGTTTTTCTCTCTCGGTGATTATAAAAAAGCAATTGAATTTCATCAGCAGTCTCTTAGTATCGCAAAAGAGACTGGAGACAAAGGTTCAGAAGATAAAGCATATATCAACCTTGGCAATGCGTATTACTCTCTTTGCGATTATAAAAAAGCCATCGAATTTCATCAGCAAGCTCTTAGAATCGCAAAAGAGATTGGAGACAAAAACACAGAACGACTGTCATACAACAATCTTGGTCATACTTTTCAAAAGCTTCGTGATTTCCCTAAGGCTGAAGAGTGTTATGAATCCAGTTTAAAAGTGTTTGAGGAGATGAGATTTCTTCTTCAAGAGAAAGACGAATGGAAAATCAGCTTTCGGGATAAATTAAAAACGTACAGTTATTTGTGGATTAGTCAGTTACGACAAAGAAAAAACAAAGAGGCGCTTTTAACAGCTGAGAGGGGACGAGCGCAAGCTCTCGCTGATCTGATGGAATCTCAGTATGGCGCAAAATCAACTCCATCAGCGTCAAAAGAGCAGATTGAAAGAATAACTAACATTTCAAGCCTTATTTCATGGCCTACGACATTTGTTGCGGAAGCTTTCGAGTTAATCTTCCTCTGGGTGTTGCAAAGGGACCAAGAATGGCAGTTTATGGGCAGAAAACTCAGTTATACCTTGGAAGATATGACTGACAAAGCATACGAACAAATTCGTGCTACTAAACCTGCCAGGTGCGAAGATCGTTCATTGGATGATCCAGACAACGAATCTATTGAAGATTTATCCGATAGGTATGCCAAAAAAAAGAATATAAATCGTCACAAGCTGGGGGTGATGCTTTAAAGGAATTGTATGATGTGGTTATTGCTCCGATTTCACACTTGATAAAAGATGAGGAACTTATCATTGTTCCTGATGGTTCATCATTCTTGATTCCTTATGCTGCCCTTTTGGATCAAAATTCCAGGTATTTGTCTGAAAGGCTGAGAATTCGATTGGCTCCGTCACTAACAAGCTTGAGGCTGCTGGCAGAGTGTCCAGAGGAGCGCCATAGTACATCTGGTGCCCTCCTGGTTGGTGACCCGTGGATTGAGACTGTGCGCCTTAAAAGCGGAGAACAACTAAAAAGATATTTCCAACTCCCTGGCGCCGAAGACGAGGTAAAAATGATTGGACAGATATTAAACGTTGAGCCTCTCACTGGAAAGAACGCTACAAAAGAACAAGTGCTAAGCAGGCTAAACTCAGTTTCGTTAGTTCACATTGCAGCTCATGGTTCTGCAGAAAGGGGTGAAATTCTGTTGTCACCTAATCTTGGCTGCTCTGAACCTCCCGAAGATAAAGACTTCCTCTTGACGATGACAGATGTGTTGAATGCAAAACTGGACGCCAAGCTTGTTGTCTTAAGTTGCTGTCACAGCGGACGAGGAGAGATCAAGGCTGAGGGCGTGGTTGGTATTGCACGTGCCTTTTTAGGAGCCGGTGCGCGTTCTGTTATTGCGTCACTTTGGGCGATTGACGACGAAGCCACGCTGGCGTTTATGAGACACTTTTACAAACATTTGGTCAAGGGACAGAGTGCAAGTAAATCACTTCATGAGGCCATGAAAATGATGCGGGAGTCAGACGACTTCAATGCCGTGAAGTACTGGGCACCATTTATGCTGATTGGCGATGACGTCACTTTAAATTTGAACCAATGAAGGTGGGGTTCTTTGGGTAAGTTTAGTTGAAAATGTTATTGAGTCAATGAAACGCAAAAATGCAGTGTTAGAAATACCACACGTTGATAATACTTATAAAGAATAGTTTCGGATGAAGAACATTAAAATGGAATTACTACGAAAAAAACTTGAAAATGTTTGGGCTAAATTTTTTAATGTGACAAATGTATCTGAAATAAATCATAAATGAAAACAGCGGAAAATGAAATCAAGTAAAGAATGATCCTCGCAGTTGTGAACGCAATTTATGCAATTGCGTAAAAGAAACCTGAAAAAACTTCAAAATTTCAACGGGATTTGAACGCGTGACCTCGCGATACCGGTGCGAAGCTCTTACCAACTGAGCTATGAAGCCACTGATGTTGGGAGCAGGTGACAAATGACAACTGCGGAGATCATTCTTTACTTGATTAAAGTTTTTAAGTTGCAAAAAACGTTGTTGCATTTTGGAGAAATACAAGAATTTTGTCTTTGAATGTTTTATTCGCAGTTTCTGAAATTAAGCCCTCCGGAGAGTTTAAAACGGAGGCTTCGGAAATCCAGGAAATGACCTACCTTGGGGTAGTTTAGGAAGTTACTCTACTTGTTGTTTACCCTGAAGACCCTTATACCTTTCCTTATATAAAAAAAAAATAACAATCATGTTTATTTTTCAGTTGCATTGCAGCACAATATAGCGGAAACAGCACAATATGACGAACTCTAAATGATGAGTTGCTCACTTGCCGGTACCTTGGTCGCTTGCAGACTGGAACACAAGTAAAAGAATAAAAACGAAACCAACTAAGAACTAATGACATTCACTAATCTCTCTGCATTGTAGCGCACGAATTCATCTTTTCACGTGACAACCTTTCTCGAATCAGCTATATACTCGTAACATCCAGTTCTACATGCTCCTATCACTGAGGACTCAGATAAATATTGTTTTCAAAACAGATATTGTTAAATTCTTAGACAACTAAGGAATGCCAGTCTTCGTAGATAACTTTTTTCACTTTTTTACTTGTGGCTTCCAAACCCCTTCTAAATAGAGAAATGGCGTATTTTGTTCCAGTCTTCGTTTGTTTTATCCATTTATATTTGATAGTTAGTCTTTTAAGAAGTGAAAAATGACTTTTTTGATGGTTAATTCCATATATCCTTTTATTTGCAAAGTTTTTTTGTGCAAAAGTGTGTAAGGCACAATATTTGTTCAGTGTAAATATCTTGTCCTTAGCAGATCTCGTTGACACTTATAGTTTACAATAATGTTGTGGGAGATAAAACATATATCTTTTCAACTGAAAATTACTTCAGTTACGAGACTGTTCTCTATGTGGTCCACTCCCTGAGATTATCGCGTCCGCAGTATAAACGCAGTTGAAACAAACACAACTGAAACAGTTTTTATTAAATCATTTTGAATTGTAGTTAGTATTTGTAATGTTAGTTCCATTTTTCAATCTTTTTTGTAGTGTCAGTTTTTAGCCGTATTTTAGTTTTCTTTTCATATATCGTCTTTTAGAGGACCGTCCTAAAAACCACCTTCAGGTGACTGGAGGCTTCCTCAAAAAATTATTTATTATAGTATGTACAGGACATAATGTTTGGCTCGCCAGCGATATCAGCGGTATTTATTGACACGACCAGGTAAACATTAGGGCCATTTATACGAGGAAAAATAAGACGCGTCTTAAAAAGACGCGAACTGTACCATTTATACGACCATGTCTTATCTAAGACGAGAACAGCTCGTATAAATGGTTCGCGTCTTATTTCTGTTCTTGACTCGTTTCCATGTGAATGTTGCCCATAGCAACGGCAATCCAACGTGGCGCGCCAAAAATTAACGCATGCGTACTATGCGTTCGCGTCTTATGTAAGACGCGAAGGTCATTTATACGAAGTTTTTCTCGTCTTAGCTAAGACGCGTCTTATCTAAGAACAGGTGTTAAGGGCTGTTCTAAAATAAGACGCGTCTTAGCTAAACCGCGTCTTATTTTAGACGAAATGTGCCGTTTATACGGAAAGTTCGCGTCTAATTTTTCCTCGTTTAAATGGCCCTAAGAAGCCACATATAAAGTAATGAAACTTTGCGCCTTTTTACCTGTTTAAAAGACAAGGTCACACCAGGAAGGACAATGTTTTTCCAGTCCGAAATAAAAAGATGACAGAGTGTTTGTTGATTGAGTATTCTCTGAGCCTCCAAGTCCTTCCGATGCAAAAAAAATTTGTTCGGCAACAAGCGTTTAAAAAATCAACTGTGTCCACAGATCACGTGCAAACAGTTGCGTCCAACATTAAAGCGGCTGGAAACTCTTTGTTTGGTACTGTCGATCATGTGACCATTTTGTATTTTCTTCCGGTCTTCTTTATTTGTGAATTTTCAGAAGAAAAAAATGTGGGCTTTGAAGGTTGAAAAAGACGGTCATGATCCGAACACATTTTCATCACTTAAAGAAATATTAAGGCTAGTGATAATCTGTCAAGGAAAATTTCAGTTTATTTTTCAGTAGATCACTTTCACTTTCAGTGTATTACTTTTCAATTAATTGTTAATTATGACTAGTTTACTGTTCTTATATTAAGAATTTACATTACTCTTTCTAATATTTCATTGATTTTTTATGACTTATTGTTAATTATGGCCAGTTAGTTGTAATAAATATTGTACATTTCTAAGTTGTTAGTAGAAAATGAAGGTCTTAATTTTTAAGTAATTTTTTTACAGTCTTAAGGCCTTTTCCGAGTTGCTCCAAAATTCTTTTTCAGAGCGAGGCTGAGTGCGAAGTTATTAATGTGAAAATGATTTTGTATTTTCATGCAAATAAAACTTTTTTCACAGGAAGGGTTTTGCACTTAGCCTCGTGTACAGAGTGAGAGTTTTTGTATCTCGGAAGTGGTCTGTTACTGTTTACACCTCCACCAGTCCGTTTTTGTCCTAAGTGGGACCCCCGTTCCAAATAATAGAAAAATAACTGCATTGAGAAACTTGAACTTCCCGCCAATTTTACGTTGTGCGAAATGACGTCACGTATGAGACAAAATAGCGACTCAAGATCCTCGGGCGTTTGCTCGACGGACAAAGAAAAAAGAGAGACTGCTCGTAGTCTACCAAAATAGCGACTGAGGATCCTTGCACTCATTTGACTGACGAAAATCCCTCTGGGATCAGATGAGCTATTAAGGGTCAGGAAACTATCAATAACCAAACACAATCTGACTATTTCAGAAATGACCCTTTGAAATGCCAGATATAGAAACAAGTGTATTGCTATATTGAGAAACCAAGAACAAAAATGGTCTGTGTTTTAAATTGTTGGTCCAAAGAAAATGAACATTTTAGCGTGACTTTCGTCAGTCGATTAGAAAATGATTTAAGCCAAGTTCCCAACCCCCCATCTGAGAACCCCATTCCAAAAAAGAAAATGTTCGAGCCCCTACGTTCTTGTACTGGTCGCATTACTTCTCTTATTCAAAGACTTCTTCACCCAAGATTGTCTAAAAACGTTACATTTAACAGTAATACATGTCCATAAAGTAAGTATTTGACCTCCCCCTCCGCCCGAGGTAGTGATCTCCTTAGCTCTAGTAAGTGATAGGTAGGCACTTGCGAAAGTTTGCCGTTAATTTCCGGCAATATATCATCTTATATAAGACGTATAACGCCGACCATGGCACAACATACGAAAGAATTCTTTTCTTATAAGGTCGTTGCAACCATTTTAGTCAACCCGTACTTTAAGCAAGAATTTAGGCTAGAATTTGCTTTTTTAATTAAGCGCAAATGAAGTCGACATCTACCCTGGGACCAGACTCCGCAGTAGAGGGAAGAAGGCAAAATCCTGGTCAAATAGCAAAAAATATCGGCGAGCGGCAGAGCGAGCCCCAATCCACCGCTCAGCTCGCTTCGCTGGCCAATATTTTTGTTGTTTGACCCCGTTTTTTGCCTTCTTCCCCAACTGCGGAGCCTAGTCCCAGGTTACCCTTTAATTTCCCCTCCCCAGACTACCTCTCGTCTCGCTCCCCGATTTGGTTTTTTCGCCCACGCCCATTTTTTTCCTTCTTCCTCCCCTTCGCCCCCCGCCCCCACCAATGCGCAGCCTGGTCCCAGGCTAGTCGACGCCTTCCTTTTTAGTCTCAAAATTAAGGGCTTAATCACTCTTGCCAAGCCTTCCATGTCTACAACGATATTTGAGGGTGCGAATGGTGTTAACAGTTAACTGATATTTGGCCAACAAAATGGTAGTTAACTGATAATTGACCGAAAAATTAGTAGTTAACTGATAAATGAGAAGTCAACAGTTAAGTGATATTATATTAATGTTAATGAAAGCAACAAAGTTTTTCAAACAGAAACGCTATTTTGTGACAATTTTCTGTCCCGCTAATGACCAGGTGGCACATTAACTGATATTACTATGTGCAAAAGGCACACCAGAGCAGTACCCGACAAACAGAAAGCGTAAGTCAAAGAGCTGGTTAAACAAAACTCAACGAATAATTTCGTCTTCTGATATTAGCAAGATTTCTGTGTTGGGAAACGGAAAATACTGTTTTCACGGACCCAAAAGACCTTCAAGTCAAACATTACCCAAATACAAAAGCTGAGACTCTTAGCATTGTTTCTGGCTAAAAAGAATTTCTGAGGGTTCAAAGAAATCAGCAGTCTTTTTTTAAAGTGCATGGAATTTGTACTTACGAGAAATCATTTTTGTAACTGATGTCGGAGTTCTAACTATTGAGACTCTTTTAATAGAAAGAAAAGCTCTTATTTAAACCGGCCTTACCGAAACAGTTTCGGCAGTTTCATTTCTTAAAACCCTTGGATATCTTTATGAGGCTTTTGAAATACGCGAATAAAGTACGCCCGCGAAAAAGGTAACATTGTGGGACGCGGAAGAGGATGTCGACAAAATCTGTATCGAGGTAAAAAATCTTCTGACAACCCAGGTGGAAAACCTACATGCGGTTTCTCACTTCAACACAAAACAACT